TCACCATAAGAGCACACCACACACAAGTTTGCAGATAACAAGACTGGGAGGCCTGCCTGATAGACCAGACAGTTGCACCGCCACACAGGGCGACGTCCCCAGGCTGCAGAAAGGGGCGGAGAGGAACCTCCTCAGGAAGCTCAGCAGAGGCCCAGAGCCCTGCAGCTGGGCAGGGGTAACCCCAGGCACTAACACAGGCTGCAGGCGGGAAACCAGCGCTACAGAGAGGAGCTGGGGGTCCCAGTGCACAGGTTTAACACAGGCCAGAAGTAGGTGCTCCCCTAAAGGTGCTACTAGCGCACCTGAGAGGGACCGGCTTCTTGCGTGGTGGTTTTCAAGTTCATCATCACGATGCTTAGCATGAAGCATTTCTCTTCTGGGTACTGGGGAGCACTAGAGGGGCAGGAACGCTCCAACTAGATTTTGTGATCATTAGGAAGGGAAGAATCGTTCTAAATAACAGATTAACCTGGAACAAGCTTAAACCTAAAAGACAAGCAGCAAGCTGAACACACCTCAGGACCTACCTTCTTGCCACAGGGCGCTGAGGAAAACTAAGGAGAAGGCGTCACAGCTGCACCATCCAGCACATCCAAACACGAAACATGAGACACCCAGCCCAGGCAGACTGTTCTCGTGCAGCATGAGCAGGTAACATGCAGCAGGATCCACACTGCCACGTACGCACATGAGACACTTAACTAAAGTAGGCTCTTCAATCACAAATAATTCCTCTCGAGCCAGGTGATACTTTCAGAGCTAGGCTTGCATGTCAGTGCTAATCGCAAGCTTTCAAAGCCATGTGAGTCTATTTATTTATGACCACAACTGCTTCCTAATCTGCAAACTACAAAACTGACAGCATAAGCAAGATGGGTGAAACCTGTTCTTCTCTATCAAAGGACAAGCCATACTTCTCCCCTTATATTAACATGCAGAACAACAAAAATACTTCATTTGACAGGCATAAGTATGTGAAGTGTAACATGTACATCAGAGATTTGTCTGTGCAGATATTGGGTTGATTCTAAGAGCATTTTAAAATACTGGCTAAGGCAGAACACTAGGGCAGGCAGGCTCTGGGGTTTCTTATCCACATGTACAAACACCTGAGGGGAGACCAAAGAGCTGACAGGCCCAGACTCCCTTCAGGGGCGCCCGGTGACAGGGCAAGTGGCAGAAACTGATTCGCAGGAAATTCCACCTGAACGTAAGAAAAAGCCTTTCTGACAGTGAGGGCGGTCAGACCCTGGAACCGACTGTGCAGAAACACTGTGGACTTCCCATTTGTGGGGAGGCCCCTTCTGGCTGTGCCCACGCCCAAGGCCTCTACCTGGGGACGTTTAACCTCCACTGCATTAGAGGACAGGGGGATCTTGCTCCTGTTTCCTCTGTGCACAGCACGCACAGAACACATGGGTGCTCATGCTGTACCCTCAACCACACAGCTGAGCCAGGAGTTTCTGTACCTCAGGTCTAAGAAGTTGATACATGGAGATTTTTATGGACATTTGGTTTCCTTCTTCCCTTCCCTTCTTGATGCACTCTTGCCCCACCTATCCCCTTCCCAACTCCATTTTCTTCTGCCTTTTCTGAAACCTAACGTTTCTAATACCTGTACATTAAGTAAGATCACAGTAGTTGTCTTTATTACCTTTAAGAAGGGCATATCCCTAGGAAGCACCTCATTTGCAAGGGCTTCGAACCTCAAGCTCTGCTGAGGTAAAAGAAGCTCCAGCTCACACGCTGGACACCGTTGAGTCCCGATTCCTTCATGACAGGGCAGACATGTTTGAAACACCAAAAACCGGCAGTTTTTCCCATCACCATTTGCCTCCTCTCACTCAGCGCTGCGACCACCTCCACAAGCCCGAGCAGACTCCCAGCTTGTTTCCAGCCTGGCCACAGCACTAGCTTGCCCAGACTCTTTGACCAAGCGCAGAGAAACCCCTGCTCTGGATCGGCCACCTTGCGTGAGTCTCTCGGGCCTCACTGTTGATTCTGCCTCTACCTCCGGCCATCCAGGCTGACCTTCCTGGGGCTGTTGATCAAGCTCAGGAGGTCCATCACAGCGACTCCTACAGCCCTCCTCTTCTTGACTGTTCAAGCCAGGACACCCCCCCCGTTTCCTTTCAGGCAGGGTCTATCCTAGAGTCTCATCAGCCAAAGTGAAACTCCAGTGCTGGGCTAGAGCAGCCTCATGCAGCACAGGGGTGGTAAAGTTGGTCCAAGCACCAGAAGCAGCACTTGCAAATATCTACTGCTATCTTAAGCAGAATCTTGTCAGAGCCTGTTCCTCCTTTTCACACCTAACTCCACATTTACCTGTTTCAGAGAAGCTCTGACGACCTCACAAACTGGCTGTCATAGGATTTAAGATATTGGAGGCATTAAAAGAGGGACTGCACTCACCTTCCATCTTTCTGTTTAAGATCATGAACTACTGTGGCTCTTCTAGCCTGTTACACCCACTTAAAACTCACATAACTTAAGACAGCCTTAGACAGTCCCTCTGCTGACATTTTTTTTTTTTAAATACAGTAACCAGGATAGATGGAAACAGCTTGATACAGTTGCACAGGTAGATATATTTGGTGACATCTGAGATGTCAAAGGGTATCCCAAACCATCTCTGGAAGTGAGGAAGTGTCTATTTTCAGCTAACAAGTGATCATGAAATTACCCTTTCCATGGACAGCACTGTTAGCCTAGTTGAATCACCCATCACATCCTTGGTGCATCTGCCCACTACATCCAAGATTCTGAACTTGTAACAGGGAAAAACAAACAAAATACAGCTGTGAGTAATCTTCAATTTTCAGTTCAAGACTGAAAATCCCAAACTTTGCAGCTTTTAAAGGGACACTGCTCTTTAGTCACCTCCTCTGGAGGCCACTCCTCAGTTCTCACTGCATTTCCCTCTCCTTCACTGCCTTTTGATAACCCTCTGACTACACGTGCCTATGAAGAGTGCCCCCATCATTCCATTTCTCCTCTCTTCCTCCCACATGATCCTCCTAGTCTAGGGTTTCTCCTGTAACAACTGGCAGGAGACAACAGGTTTCTCTAGCAGCCTGAGGGGCTGCAAGTCCAACAATTCCTTAGGGCTGAGGAAGGGTTTTATCACAACTTTTCGATTCTCAAAAAGAAACCAGGAAATTAATCACTGGATGGCAACCTTGGCAATAACCATGCCATGGCTGCAGAGCAGAGACTGGTTCGCATTTCTTGTTTTCTGTGAGAGGGGGTGATTACACTGAAAATAAACATCTCCATGTGCAGCACATCAAGATTATCATCATTGAAAGTGCTCTGTTCTGGATTACTGCAGATCCAGTATATTTGCCTGACTGTGGGAAATGTCTGAGGAGGATCCTCCTATAGCTACACTAGTGAGGTATTTCCTGTAAGTAAAAATAAATAAATATATATTTTTTTAAAATCATGCAAGTCCCCATAACATTAACAATTCAAGATTACACTGGTACAAAGCATGTGTCAAGTAAATTGCAACTGTTTAGAAACTAGACCTCAACACAGACAAGCGTTTGGCAAGCAGGTCCCCTCTTTGGAAGAGATGGGTTCGTTGGTCTGCACTGCTTGCCACTTGGCTCTGGCATGTAATGCCCTTTTTGGTGTTCCATGGGTGCCTGTCCAAGGCAGAATCTCTCTTCCTGTGTGGAAATACGAAAGAGTCCTTGACTGATTCTTTAAGGGTCTCCTTAACTTGGATTTAATTTCTCAACCTTTACCTTAAATAATCCTGTTGAGCAGGCTTCTAGCTCACACAAGAGTCATTGGTCAAGTTTGCTCAGGGGAGATATCTGCATTTCCCCACCTCTTTCCAGCTTAACCCATACTCATATCATTCAGGCCAGCAGGAAATGCTTAGGACTTCCTTTTTCTATTTCTTCAATGAGCAAGAGATGTCTGGCAATGGCCTTGGCAATGTAGTAAAAGGAATGGAAATTCCTGATTTAGAGTGCAGACACACACTGTGGTACATTTGCACCTACTGTGTAGGAAAAGGCTTTTCCTTTCTTCCTTTGAAGAAATTGAACATTTCTTCATGATATGTTTCATAAACCTTTTAATTAAAGCAGAAAAAAAAAGAGGGAACTCCTGCACACATTAATAACAACGGGATAAACAGAATTTGGTGAAGCTTTTGAAAGACCATATGCTTTTTTGATATAAAACTAGTTACCTGCAAACACAAGAGTATGACAGAAATGATGCATTAGAGAGAAATGCACTTTGGCTTCCTTAAAAATGGAAATATTTTGTAAGCACTTAGAGGAATGAAAACACGACATCAAATACATAGCTACATAGCTAAATACGATAGTCTTAAAGTGCTTAAATGGTACCATATTTTAATTGCAGCACTAAAACAAGTAGATGGAGAATTAGTAAAGCATAACTGAAACCTCAATGCATTTATGAAAATGTATAAATTACTATGTTTCAAAACATTCTTTGGATAGTAATAGCTCTTCTGAGTTCTCTAGCTAAGGGAAAATACTCACAGATACACTTGCTGCATAACACGCATCAAAGCTAACTGCTTTTATATACCTCAAAAGCATTCTGACAGTAGGATATGGCTATTTTTACCAGTTGAGATGTGACTGAGTTGTATTTCTTCAGAGGTTTTTATCCCTTAGATGTAGTTCTCTATTTTCATTCTAATTGGAGGTGTGTTTTAAAACAAACAAAAAAACCCCAGAATTTATGACCCTTTGGCAACAAGCATAAATGACAACCAATGTTTAAAGTGACACATTATCTGGCTTAGTTTCCTTGTTGACAATTTGACTATCCAAAAGGGAAAAAATCTGGAGCCTGACCACTTTCCTTCCCTTTTCTTCTAAAGGTTTCCTGAACCTTTAAGGTTAAGTGGGATTAGACCACTTCAGCATCCCCTTCACTGCATCATAATTTACTGCCAGTAGCCGAACTGGAAGACCTGGAACTCCAACAGACACCAGAAATCTGACCTCTATCCGTAGCTGGACGTCAAGGGGTTTGTTTTCAGCACACACAGACTTCCTGCTCTGTCCCCGCCTGTGGCCAAATTTGCATTTGTTTCTCAGAACTTGCTCATCATCTTCGATGGGTCTCCGGACGTATTTGAAGCGATCTTTAAGAGCTCGTTTCCACAGCAACTGCATGGGGGAAAAAAAAGAAAACTGTCATTAGCAGGTGCCTTCCAAGCCCTGCCCCACTCCTATGGCGGGTCGGTTCCTTTCATCTCCGCTACTTCAGAGAGAGCTGTTTATCCACCGGGTGGGAAACAGCCTTTTTGACGGCACCGGCTCCCCGGGGACTTCAGTAAGATGGAAATGAGCACCCGTGGTTACCTCATTCTGTGGCTGCTAACGAGAGGGACTAGTGGCACCTGCACAGTTAAGTAGGGACTAAGGTAATTAAATGTAACCGTTAGATGTAACCAGCCTAAGCAGGGCCACCTGCCAGACTGCTGCTTCCTTTCCTTCCCTCCACCCTTAGCTTTGGGCACTGCCTTTGTGGCACTGCGGCATGCAGCTACACAGTGAATCAGAGCAGCTCCCTGGTGCCACAGAAAACCAGCGGGGCTTTAGTGGACTGCTCTTCCCCTCCATCGGGGAGGGAATCCAACCGTTGGGGCATTGTTCAGGTACCAGATGTAACACAGGGGACTCTCCCTCCTGGGAGGAGCCTGCAGTTACACTAGATCAAGTGTTCTAATAAACTGACATTAAAGCTGCTGAATTAAGAGAATCTGTTAAGTAGCTTCTAGTATTTATGAGACTCCTTAAGGAATGTAAATTGCAAATTAAAGGCAGTTGTATGCTACAAGTGGATGCAGTGACTGTTATCACCACATGGCCTTGACTCGAGTGCTAGCACCAGAGAGGCCTAGCAGTGTTAGCAGAAGCTCTCAAGTGACAACATATTTTGAAAATCCCACCTGACACCCGTGGGAACCATCAGGTCCCTAAATATCTTTAAAATTCTGACCCGAAGTATTTATATTTTGGTGCAAATATGCCAGCAATATATGCCCAGAAAAAAATACATAATATATATATATATATGGAACATCTCTATTCTTGAAAGCAGTTACAGTTGAAAGCAATTTTACATTTTTTTTTTTTAAAACCAACAACAACTTAGCTAAACATTTCTCTGAAATACTCAACAAATGTTAAAGTGTTGCAAAACATGATGAGCCCATTTCCAGCTAACATTTTAATATTCTTTTAGTTGGGCTTTGTATGCTTTTTTTCCCCTTTTGAAAACTTTATTTGTTTGCCTAGGAGACATTTCATTTTGTTCTTCCACATGAAAGAATATGCTGACAGTTATGCAGAGCTATAAATATCTCTCAAAGTTCAAAAACATTTAGCTGTTTCATCCTTCTGTCCTCATACAAATTAAGAGTTTTAACGAAATTTATTTCTGTAATAGGATTCTCCTTGGCTTATCCAAGTGCCTTCTCACGTACAGAAAAGCATACATTTATCTGGCTTCTTTAGGAAGTAATGTATCTTCTGAAAGGACGCTAGCAAAGATTTCATTGCCATTTTTGAGCAGATAAAGTATTCATAGACAATAAAGTTAAATAGTTCTATCACGCTTGCGAGGGGAGGGCAAGGATTAGTGCATGTGTATCTGACATAAGAGGGAAAGGATTACAGGGAGATTAAAAGCTGTAGTTTACTAAAGAATAATCATTTTGAATGCAATAGTTACATAATCAAGAACGTTGGCAGCGGAGCTCTGGCTCTCCCGGCACGAACGCTGCGCGGTAGCACTGAGCTCTACGAAGGGCTCACTGAGGAGCAAGAACCTGCCAGACCCTTCTGTTTCCCTTCCTCACAAAACAGCTTCTCCAAGTTGTACAGTTTTCTCCATGCTAGCTGAAATGAAACAAGGTCGGTGACTGTTTGCAGATGGTTGCAACCCTTGCGAAGCAGGCAATGCAGTCACAGAATTCCCTTGCCACTGGCCACTGGCTGCCGTGGGCACGAGGAGGGAGCCGGACCGGCCTCCCGCCCGACCGCTCCTTCGGGTCTGGCTGCAGGCGAGAGCGGCTGCTCGTACAGACACCAGCTTAGAGAGTCAAAGACCATTTAACAAATATCCATCTAGGAAGAGAGACACAGAGTCTACCCTTCTCGTATTAAATTTTTCAAGATTTTAAATTTCTAAACAGATTTTAAGTGCACTTGTATCCTCACACACACACAGAAAATAATTGATAACTTTAATATACGAATATTTCAAATACGCATGAAGATTTACTTTTGGATTAGACAAAGAAAATGTTCCAGGTAGCCAACAATAAAGTTAGAACTCACAGCTCCAGACTTACCTATATCAGCTGTTACTGTGACTTTAGCTAGATCTGTTTTCATTTCCTCACTAGATTCTCAACGCTATCCAGTGTTTGTTATTTACTGGTTCTGCACTGCACTGATTTTCCATGGCACCGCTTTCTTTCTAGAGTACCTTTACATTAAAAGCGCTTTGAAAAATACTTCACCTACCAATGAAACATCATGAATGAAAATAAGGACCAATGTAAATATTTCTTATCAAAAGTTCAGTATGTTTCAAGTATATGACGTCTCTTCGATACCTGACCTCCACTTATGACCTTTGCTCTGTGTATAAAACCTGTTTTTCTGTAAGTACTCATAACTACTATATTGGTTATATTATAGGCCAGAAAATCTAATAATCTATACCATGGCTAAGCAGACTTTTTTTTTGTTAATTTGGGAATGCTACTTTAGCAGAATGTTGTTTTTCAAGTAGAGGGAAATCCTAAGGCGGGAGGGGGGAAAGAAAAAAAAGAAAAAGAGAAAAGTAATAGCTCTAAAGCACATCTTTCCAAAAGCTAATAAGATGGTCTTGGGAGGTGGGGAAAAGAAGAAATACATTTCATTCCAAGTGTTTTTGATTAAAGTTTTGCATTTAGTAGGAACTGATTTTTTTATTACTATTTGGGTTTTCATATAATTATTTTGTAATTCCTGCAATCAGAATGACTATTGCAAAATTTTCAGTACATACCCATCTTATTAGTAACCTTATTTTAAACCTATTTGTTTAGGACCATTATCACCCGGACTGTATTGCATTAGATATACTTTTTAAAAGGAGCAATAACACAGAATCATATTTTTCCTTACTGCAAAATTAAACTGGAGACCTTAAAAAACAAACAAACAAAACCCAGCTAATTACCAATAAATCTTAAAACACTAGACCTTTATTAAACTCCATCTACTTGCAAGAATATGAGACTGGTAATATGAGACTAAGCTTCTATGTAATACATATATATACACACCCACACGTATATATTTATTTGTATTGCTCGTACTTAAAATTTGGAATGCTGAAGTGTCTACCACACATACACACACACTTTCTCACACTTTGTCAATGTGCTGCATTAACAAGCAGTGCTTGAGCCTTTCACAGACACTGCATGGATGTTAACCAGCATCACAGGTATACACAGCCAGCAATGCTCTCTACAGACCAAGGGTTCAGGTACTCATATAACCAGCACTGTCCCTTAAGTCACCACTCTCATTTTGCAATTTTCTTCTTCTAATTTTAGCTATCAGTCCTCAAATAATCATCTTTCTCCTTCACTTCTGAATTAGTTTTATTGACTCTGATTTTCTTAGATTCCTTCAATGTAATTTTCAGAAATTGTTTGTCTATAATCCTTGAATAATTGATTACTACAGGTCAAATGCATTCAGAACTCTTACATATTATTCTGCATGTCTTACAAGACCCACAATTCAGGACTGCTACTAGGAATATTAAACAGCAATTCTTACGTTCCTATTCAGGCCAATTTAAACAAAGTGCCTGCAAAAAAAAATGCATTTTTTTGGCTGCTGAAAACAGTTCCTCTGTGAAAAGATGCCAGAATAGTGGTTAGCCGTTGCATATTTTGTTTCTTATGATATTATGAATCCAGAACTGCCACTTCATTTTTACAGAAAGTCTCATGCTAAGTAGTCATGTATGTGTTAGTGGTTTTATTTTAAGTCTCAGTTGTTGTGACATATATGTATTTCATATCTGAAAAATAAAAATGTCTTCCTGCCTTCATGCTTGTCAAGGAAGAAAGGAATGTATAACACTAGATCCAATAAAAATCATAATTAACCCTCCCTCCTCCTCCAAGGCTGAGGGTACAGACATGTACCTTGAAGATAATTGCTACCTCAACCCAGGTAATGGAGAAAGGGACTAGCTCACCAACAGATCAGACCAGCAACACTGCAAACTACCAATCCCAGCTTCCTTGCTTCCTTAAGGTCATTTCATACAGATATCTCTTCCAGTAAGTGTGAATGAAATATTGTAAGATAAAGAAAACAGTTTGCAAATCTCTTCCCCATCAAATGACTCTCCAAATAATTTTTGCCAGCATCATTTCCTGGACCAACTTGGAAAGCAATGAACTATTTTATTTCCCAAAAAACAGTTGTATAAGAAGTTTCGCTAAAGCCTACGTTTTTGCTGCAGTGAAAAGCTAATGAAAAGTTTTTAAGAAATTCTGTTTAGAAACAACTTATTCCTCTTTTTTTTTTCTCACAATCATTTGCTTTCTGTAGTAACTGTCCACAGGATGCATACTTATATATGTTGAAACTCAATCCCCTCTCTCACAAGCTCGTACAAGATACTAAAAGCATCAAATGGCAAAGCCATGACATGAAGTCACAGATAAACACCACCCTCTAAGACCACAGATGCATTCTACGTCACAGGAGTAAAAAAATTCAGTTCAAATAAGAGCCAGTTCCTTCCACTGCTTTTTCCTATGCCCCCACCAAGATGCTAACCAGATCTTTCCCGTAGTATTTTTATTAGCTCCTAGATTCCTGGCATAACTGATACAGCTAGATAGCAAACCTAATACAGAAGAGACCAGAATGCCCTGTGAGAACACCAGTCATTTGTTAATACTCACTCCTACCTCAAACAGTTCTCTACAGACCGCAGAAAACTTCTTTCTTTTTCTTTCTCCCTTTCTAACAATCATGTTCACTCGACTTTATCCAGGGAGGAGTGTGTCCCTGAGTGTGGTGGTGTGAAATCAAGCCAGCAATACTGTACCCAACAAACCACCAGGAAGACTTTCAAAGGCATTTCATAAGGGACTGCATGACAGCACAGTGACTTTGAGGAGGGGGGCTAATCTTCAATTAATATAAGGAAATAAGAATGAGATTGGGCAGACTTCTCAGTGTGAAGCTCGCAGTGAATAAAGCCAGAATATAAAAGCTAACACTAACTGAACTAAGTTACTCCTTGTGACAACTTATTTAAAGGGAAAAAGAAGAAAAAAAGAAAAAAGAAAAAAAAAAAACCACACACTTCAGGAATCTTCAAGATAAGTTACTGTTTATAATACTTACAAAGCCATTTCCACCTTCATCAAGGAATGGGTATGCCTGCAGCAAAGCATTGACAACGATGTTATACTGTTGACTGTTTGGATACCTGTTCAAACAACAAGGGCATTTTAAAAAGAAAGAAAGAAAAAGTTGATATTCTGGACAATATCTGCAATTTTTGGGAGTCTATACTGATATACACTAAACTGACAGCATGCATCTAAGAAATATTTCTAAGACAACTGATTCCACTCCAAATAGCAAAGGGATCAGCTTCAAGGTTTGCATGTCTTCCTATTGACTTAACAGGTTTCAGGCTTTTAGCCTCTTCTACTTAAGCAAGCATACTAGGGAGAATGTGGTTTCATAGTTATTTGAACAAAAAAATCTCCAAAATAAACTCCAAAATCTGCAGCCATTTGGAATAACCCTCACAAATGAATCTAACCCGGTTTACTTACAGAGATCCTTTTAAGTATTTTGTCATGTCTGCTTGCAAGTATTCAATAATCCTTATTCTCATACTGTGATCGGGGCTTTTCTTTTCTGCTAACATACACTTGACATCATAAGGGAAGTCTGGCAAAGCATAAGAACTTGTCCACTGTAACGTCTTATATCTTGCAAGAAATGATTTCACATTTTTTCTGTAAGAGAAAAGGATTACACAATCGGTGATCACATCTTGCTTGCATGCAAAGTCAAGACTGAATGAAAAAAAAATGTAAGCAAAAATGTGGGAAAAAATATGGGAAAGCTACTGGTAATTTGGGGCTTGCTCTCTCAGTTTGAGCGTAAAGTATCACAAAGGTTGCAAACAGGAAACATGAGGTTAAAAACAGATGTCACAAGTGAAATGCTATAATCAGTGGACTTTACAAGGTGCTAAAAGGTGGTCACTAGGTGAAAACAGAGAACATAACAGAGGAAGCCATGGGGGACTTGCTATCATTGCAAAACAATTGTCTTCTTTTTTGTAATGTGTTTCCTAGGGGTTCTGCTAATTTACTAGCAGATAGCAAGCTTAACAGCTTACATAATAAAATATTATACAAGACATTAGTGTAAGACTATCCCCCCCAAGGGCATGTAACACATAGCAAAAGCAGGAGGCAGTTAATGAGCACAATGGCTGGAAACAAAGCAGAAGGAGCCTCTAAGTGCTGAGAGCTCCAGGCCCAAGAGGAGCCATCAGCAAGATCTACCGGCGTGGCACCGGCCGGAGGGAAAACCACCCCAGGAAACCACCGCTAACCACCCAAAGGGCCTCCCCTCCCGAGGAGCAGCCAAACACTCGCCCTCGAGAAGCGCAACGCAAAGGGAGAGCTGAACTGCAAGGAGCAGGAGGCACCGAACGGGTGCAGCGGCTCCTGGGGCTCCGCCAAGGGAAATCGGGGCGTGAGGAGGAATTTTCGGACAGAGACGCCAACGCAGATGCTCGGAAGATGCCAAGCAGGCGTCCTGCTGTGCAGAGGGTCTCACTGCAACCCGCATTTGATGCGAAATGCAGAGAGCAATTTAGAAATGATAGGTAGCTTTTTTAAAGGTGATTTTTTATTACAACACTTACAACACAATTTTAGATGACAAAGGCAGGCCTTTATGCTGTATAGATTCACAGATACCTATATCTGCAATAGTCATCTGGCCTGCCTTTACATTCACCGAGGAGACACAAGCACTATTGAAGGATGCTAGGGCTTAACAGCCAGAGACACCTAAATTAGACCAGACAACGAAGTCCATTTCTCTCCAATAACTCTGAGGATACCAACTGAGGATATTAAGTTAATAACCTGTAAGTTAACTTCAGACTTACACCCTGTAAGTGTCAGCAACTAGGGCAAGTGCCCTGTTGGCAGAGGGGAGATCCCACAGAGATGTGATTCGACTGGACAAGCTCCAGAGTCCTCTCTAAGCCAAACTCACCTTGGAGTCTACAAAGGCTACAGAGGGAAACGCTGCCAGACTGCACACAAGTTTGCACTCCCAAAGCTCTCTACAGCAAACTAGAATCAAAATCCAGGTATAAAAATGAAGAGGTTTATACGGCTTTAGCGAGATCCTCTTGGAGAGGTGTCACTGTCTTACCTATTTTAGATAAGGGTGTAAAGAAAACAAAACAAAACATGGTAGCCACAATCTTAAGGCTGGAAAAATCCATTGCAAAACCAATGAGAAAAGAACATTTGTTATAGCTTGGTTTACACCACTACAAAGACTATTATATATCTTGCAGACAGCTCCTTTGGGACCCATATGACTATAGTTAGAGTCTCAATTTCTTCTTTGTCAGATCAGCCTGTACCTGCTAACCTTGGTGACCTGGTTAAGCCTTCCACATCACCTCGGGGTCTTGTATGCAACTTGCAAGCTAGTAAAAAACACGGTATAACTGCGTCAAGCCCAGCAACTACTGCAAATTGTGCTGCAGTGCTAAAAACAAAACAAAACCCCAGGCATTCTCACCCAATTCCCATATATATTAAGAGTAGTAGCAGCACTCACAGCTGTTTCCCCATGCTAAACAGGTACAAAAAGTCAAGGATGGTGTCCCTCCAAACTCATATTTTATATGATGGAGATGGTTAATAGTAGTCGTATACTGCAATAAGCTTCTAATAATGTATAGCAGCCTCAGAAAAAGGAAAGAAATATACTAGGATTAAACACAGGCATATACATACAGACGAATTCTCATGTGCTTTTTGGATGGTAAATTAATACAGAAGAGGGAAAGATAGATTCTGAAATCACTTGGAAATCCCTTCTATACAAATGAAATGAAGATCTTCAATATAGCATCAATAAGCAGCTGTGCAATACAAGTTTGAATCCTCTGCTCTTACTGCCTTTACTGATTGAACTGATGCAGTAGATAGGCTTCTAATTACCACATGTCATTTTCAATAAGGTATCCCTTAACTAGCTTGAAAATGGACACTAGTTCAAAACATACAATAATTTGTAGCACAACAGCAGAAATTGCTATTCTTGCTAATACCACTGAAGCTGAATTGCTACCTGGAAAAGCGGAAAGGCTTGGTGGGTTCAGTTTCGACAAATCTTAAGACTTACAGGACACTCCACAGTTTCCTTCTACCACCTCAGCTGTAAGTTAAGGTTCTAAACAGGCATAGCCATTTGAAGAAAATAAATTTTTCTTATGGCTGACTAAAATGAAAATTACCCTCCATCAGTCCCTTCATATTTGATGGTACACCACAGTACTCCAAATTCCATTTCACTCTTTCGAGTGTCTCTTTAACCTTATCCAATAGAGAAAGTGTTTCCCTCAGTATCCAAACAAGATCTGAAAATTCCAATAATCTCCATGAAGATCAAATATTTTACTAGGTTTTGTTGAAATCATCACCGTTGGGTGGTAATGTTAAATGTGTGCAATCATATTTTAGAATGAAATATAAGTGTGTTTGAAAAGAGACAGCTCTCTGCTAAACTTTTTCTCCAGAAATGCTCATGTGCAAACTTCAACTAAGAGAACGGTTCAGTTAAACTGTACATTCACCACAACATATGCATTTAGTCAAGACTTTCCTTGCTTATGGAGAACAGTATTAAAGTTTTGGTCCAAACAAATATAGTCTTCTTCTGTTCATCCCTCTCCTGTCCTCTAACCTAGAGCACAGAGGAGATTAAGAGTCCAGAAGGCAGATTACCAAACCCCTTCTTCCTGCAAGAGGGATACCTGATACTGCTGCTAAAACAATCAAATGGCTGCTTCTGAACAGCCGAGTCCCAGTCGGTGACTGGTCCTGCAAATCCTCTATTCCTGCAACAGGTTACTCTGAGGAGCCACGGTGACAAAACTCTTCAAAGTCCTTCTAGGTTTAATCTTCTTACCGCTTAGTTCCCCGAGCCGGCTCATCAAGAGGCCAGACAAATACCAAAGCAAAGGAAGGACAGTCTCTGTTACTGCCATATGTAACTGCATCCTAAGAGGCACCTCAGCAGCAGGGGTAACCACGGACCTCCTGATCGCTCGGCTCCTGCGGAGGGCCCTCTCCTCCCGTACCTACCGAGTCGCGGCTCCCTTTCGCACGGCCCCAGCTTGCTTTGGCTCCGCCACAGCCTGACCCTGTTCACGCACAGCGTGTTTACTGAGGCACAGAATCACAAAACGATGCCATGGTGGGCTGAGCTGGGGAAAACAAACAGACGACACTAAAAACTTACTATATAATGCAGGAGTGCTTTGGGATATTTCGCCTTTGGCCAAAAGGAGGCAGAGTTTACACAGCTGTGGTGTCACCCAGACCAACAGTGCTGATGCCCAGGTGTCGTGAAGCAAAGGAAGCAGCTCTATAAGCATCATTAACAGAATTACGAGGTGAACTATGACACACAAGCCTTAGCTACAGAGCAGGCTCTGAGCGCTCCCAGCTGCACAGGCTGTGGTCTGGCCAAATCTGACAAGGTCGCCCCGGCTATCGGCGCGGTGCTGTCCCTGCCTGCCCCAGCTCTCGGCAGCCAGGCGCTCTCGTGGCACTGAACTGGCACCAGCACCGCTGAATCTCTTTGGAGACTGGAACCAAGTTTATCTTAAAGTAGTATTGCAAGGCACTCTTCCTGGTATCAGCACAAACTGTTTTTGGCTCCGGCATCGTTATCCTGTCCATGCTGTCAAGGCCCAACTCGCAGACACCCACCCGCAGCCGGCCCTGTGAGCGCTCACAGCATCACCCAGCCTCACAGCAAAGAGAAGGTCTCCTGTTCTGCTAGGGCACGTAAAACTGCCCTGAAAAAGTTACCTCAAGGAATTCAGACAGTGAAAAACTAAAGAACACATTTTTTATGGAAAGAATAAATGCACAAATAAATCTGTAGCAGGACACCATTTTTGAAGGAAAATGAATAGAGTGACATCTTGGAAACACTGAGGAGGGGGTATGTTATTCAGGCATCTGATAAACAAACAGCTTGAGAGAATGCACACAGAACACAATAAAAAGGTGGGGTTTTAACAGCAGCATCAGGTATTTACTAGTAATGACAGTTGCTGTCTTAGCAACAAGATAAACTTAAGGCTGTCAGGAGCAATGAAACTGCTAGGACTTCAACATTAAAAAGCAGGCTTGGGGAAATGTGTTAAAGTGTCCTTTGTATGCTGGGTCGTGGTTTTCACAGAAAAGCACTGCTACAAGATCAACCTTTATTCTGGGAGACTAACAGAAAGATTGCCACTTTTACTTCCACAGCTGTGAGTAAAAAATTATTCTATTGAGCTAACACATCAAAATCTCATCTGCTTGTTACACAATGCAATTTGATGATTTTTCCAATATGATAAAAAAATAAAACCACACAATTGCTACATTCACTTAATGTACATTTTGCGTTTAAGCAATCTTCTCTGATCTCTCTGCAATACTCAGTAACACCGGAGAGCACGTTTTTAAAATGGTTATTAAGGATTATCTGCACAGATAACTTACAGAACAACTGGGAACTGAGCCAGCTAAAATAATCCATAAAAGTATCCATTAATTCCTTCCAAGAGAAACTATACGAGTTACTGAAGCTGCAGTTACAGCTGAAGCTGTATGATTGTAAATTTAAACTAACCCCACTGACTGATCAGAATTGTCTTAAGAAGTGTTTATACGAGTCTTACCTACAATTAAGAGACCAAGTAACTTTTTCTATTCCCATAATGAAATTTCTAAAACAAACATCTTGTTCAGTCCTTGGCAATCTGCCTATAGCCAACATAAACTCCTCAAGCATATATAACATCAAACTTTCCATTCGTTGCCAAAAATGCAATAAATGGATATTTATACCCATTTATAAGAAAAGAAAGAAAGAAAAAAATCTAGCCTAAGCTCTTTAAGACAGCTTTAACCAGTGGGCCAAGTCCTCACTAATTCTAAACAACACCATTCATCTCCAAATATAATACTTCACTAGAAATAACCTAGTGCAGCAATTAAGAGTGGCAAAGGAGCTGCTCCATTTTCAATCTTAATCAGTTAAGTTAGGTTTACAGCTATTTCAGAGAAAAGACATTGGCCAGCTTCTCATCCAACCTTTAAGGATAAATCCTCATAAAACTTGCTCACGTCTTTAGGAGCATAAATGACCTCTGCTGCACAGAGGAGGGGCATTGCATTTACAGAAAATTTTCTCCTCTCTGCTTCTTTGCCCCAGGGTGAATCTGCAGTCCCTTTCCCTCAACAGGCCATTATGGGGCCTTGAAAGGTATGTACTAAGAGCATTTACTGAGAACATTTCCTAAAGCCAGTCTATTCTGGGTTATGCTGATTCGCACAACCCACTTAAAACTCTTTATACAGCACATGGCAAATTACTCAACATTAATTAAAAACAAGCATCCCTTAGAAGTACAAGCTAGAGACCATCATTGCAGATGCATTTTAATGGGAATGGGGGTACTGGGAGCTTTATTTTATTCTTCGCTAAAAGAAAATCATAGCAGAACATTATTAGGGAAAAAAAATTACTATCTGTTTCACTATGCCCTTTTCTCTGCTCTGAAACAGTTTTCTCTCTCTGCCCTTTTTCTTAAAGGATATCACATAGCTGTTTCCCCTTCTCTCAGAACAGGGAAGCCATCAGACAAGCAAGGCAGGGCTCACGTGATGAGCACGAGGACAAACCTGCACCTTGCCCTCTACAGGAGGAAACAAATGAGGCCCGGGGACTCTGTCCACTGATTCGGTTAAATGTGAGCTCATTCCAGATCTCACTGTTCTTTAACTACACCTGCATTTACAGCTTGCTTCCAACATTTAGGCACAGAGCAGATCACTTTTTTTGACAGAAATAAATTAGTTCTGGTAACACAAAACATCTATTCAGTCTCAACAAAGGAAAAAGAATCATCATGTCCTTTTCAAAATACAAACAAAACTTCAAAAGCACATTAGGAACTCACTTCTGCTTTAATACTCTTCGATCAATCAGTCCTTCCTCACGGTCACTTGAAGGCAGACACCTTTTCTGCTCCACAGGACCAGGAGAACTGAAGAGCTGTTTATCAGTAATCCTGAAAAAAGAATGATTTTCACTGGGAAGCTTTGTGCAGCTTATACAAAACAGGTATTTCTATAGTCTAAAAATATCAGTAGCTGAAATAGAAAAGGTAAAAGAAATAACATATTGAATAGTCATTACACAATGTTGATGTTTCGAATCAATTTTTCAGAGTCAGACAAGATCAAAGGAAAAGGGTAAATAATATCACTTAATCATATTTTAATCACTACAGAGTTACAAAACCTAAGAAAATAAATATGGCAGCCTTTTTTTCCCCCCCTTTAAATGGAGGTTATGCCCACTTTACACTTTTGAGTGAACTTCTCAGTGTTTCAGCCACTCTACACAATTCCTGGAGGCTACCTGGTATCTTCTCATCTCTGTTTCTTGTATTTCTTTCAACTCCAATTCACCTCTCTCTCACACCAAAAATCCCCAGATACCCACTTTGCTGATGTTCAAGGAATCCCACTCCGAAACACTGTTTCCCACTGTACACTGATTTTGCATGTGCTCCTTCCTCACTTTCCTGTTCTTTCTTCTTTTCCTTCTGTTACAGGACATCAACATTTTTATACTGTATTGAGGGTAAGAGAGCAGAGACAGGGGCTACTATAATGGTGCCAAGAATTCAGAGCAGCCATCAACTTTTTGTTTGTTTGCTTTGTTTTTTAAACTTTACAGGCAATGAGAAGCAGAGGAAGTTGATAACTTGGCCAGTCAGATGCTAGGGGCTCCAATACCATAGGCTTAGCTCTTCCCTGGATTTTTAAATTCATAGTTTTGCCCATTCAAAACTGAAGCTGCATTTCCTGAGGGCGGAGGTACAAGTAACATGAGTACAGGTATTGCTCAGTGTTCACACACTGGGTACAGGCAGATGTCAGCCAAGGCTGATTGACAGGCAGATTTCACTTCACTCTACCAATAGACTCACAGATTATTCTCCTGCCTCTGACTTATGAAGTATTATGAAGTAGCATAAACATATTCTTAATGAGATGACATCATCAGAATTTTGCCCTTCAAGCACTGCTGCTAGAGCCTTTTTTAACATTTTCACAAGTCAGGCTTAGGGAAGGATAAGCACAAGCTGAAGAGCGGAGCTTTCCATAACGCATGACTCCGGCAAGTCTTTCTGGAGACGCTACACCTTCCTTTTTGTATCTCAGAATCTCTAAACTCAAAGACACTTTTGAAAGCATTCCTCACATAGCTATGTTCAATCTGGAAGCCTGATACTCCAGGTGACACTGATGTTTACCATATTTATAAGGACAGTTTCCCCTTTCTTCTTAGTTTTGTCTGTGCACTTTCTCCAGCTGCCCAGTTACGGCACAAAAATGCAGTAAGTTCCCTATGTGGCTCCTAGCTGCAGCCAAACTTCGAAGTGGAAACCACCCTGGTGTTTACTTGCTAACTTCTTCACACGAGCTCCTCATACACAGGTTCCACTTCATGACCCAGAACACTTCAACCCTCCCCATGACAGGCCCAAGATGCTATTTCCGCATCCTGCTCCAAACTGCAGGAGACACAAGTCACATTTAGTGCTCCTTCACAATTCCGTTACTTCTGCACTGCCCTCAAAACTTTATGGCTGATCAACACTTTCATTTTTGCCTCTAGCAGAGAGGTGAGCTAAGCATAATTCAGAAAAGTGCTAGAAAACACCCTAAGGACCACAGGGTAAAAGAGGTAGATAAAGAGGAGTCAGGAGAGCAACAGCAAGCACTGGGAGTAGCATTCATGCAAGAAATAGAAATACTGCTGACAGCTGCCTGGAATCTCCTCAGCAGCTCCAGCTCATCTGCATGGAGGCTGCTACAGCGCTGCTTCCTGCCCTGCCGCTTTGCCAAGAACTCCCTCCTCCGTCCTGGCACTGCTACTCACTCACTATGAGCTAGTTTTGGGAGCTGACCTGACTGAAAAACCATTCTGCCAAAGCAGGAGAGATTTCAGCTGGATTCCCCGCCTGGATGCCACCCTGTGCCACGTGCTCTAGGTGTCCCTACTTGAGCTGAGGGTTTGGACTAGATGATCTCTAGAGGTCCCTTCCAACCTCAACCATTCTGTGATTCATGTGCTGCAGGAGGAGGGTTAGGAACACACAGATGAAGGCAGGAACTGTGGCAGCTCAGGCTAACAGTCACCTTGCGCTTGCCATGCGACCACACAAGCAGCTCCAGATGCTGCTGGCAGTAAAGCTCAGCGTGGGGAACTTGCTCAAGCAACGAAGATCCCAATTCAACCTAACATCAGTAAGGAACTGTTAGAAAGTGAACTCATTTAACACATACTGTGAATCTACTAATTTTTGGTTATGTCACATACTCTGGTCTTCTGTGTCAGATGCAACCGATGAAACAAAGCCAACAAACTTGCTTCCAAAAAAGGTGTCACACACATTACTCTAGTCACAAATCAAAAGGAATTATTCTTACGGGATTTTGTTCAAGATGGACTATACAGACAAAACCACTTTCAGACAAGCACTCCACAGTTAAAAAAATGACAATTACAGCTGGCTGCATATTTGGATATAGCCTGTAGTTGATCAAATACTATTTTTACCCTGGGAGTTTTTGCCTCATTCTGTAGAGAAACCAGCTATTCAATATCTTGATTTTTTCCTCATCCTAGAGTATGTGACTATACAGATTTCTTAGACATACTTAGGAGTTTTTTTATGCAGTTCTTTGCCACAGAATGTGTTTCACAACTGCAACTTATTTACCTAAATTCCCCGTAAACAGAAGAATTTAAGTATCTACATTTTAGGCAGACAGACTAGTGAAGGAAAGAGTTTAAGGTAAGTTATGCTTAACATTTGAGATTTCCAGCATTTGACTTTTTTTTTTTTTTGAATCTGCAGAAACTGGCATTTTGCATCCATTGCAGCCTATCTCTAGGTTTCTTGGGACTGGAAGAGAACTCTGCGAGAGCCCAGGACCTCTGTTCTCACCCAAGATGCCCAAAACAAAATCCAGCAGAGTTTATAATTGATCAGAAGGAGAAGGAAGGAAAAAAAAAAAAAAAAGGAAAAAAAAGGCACCTCAACCTAGAGCTGGAACATGCTCAGTAAAGACAGTCGCTGTGGAATTTGTTTTCTAAGAAAACTATCTGGTCCCTTGTTGAGCAGCCCACACTAATTATTATATGTTTATACCTTGATCAGATTCAGAGAGTTTCCTTTGGGAGATTATATTTCAATATTGGTGCCACAAACATCCTCTCTACCTAAATCATGATTTTACTCCAGGGTTTGTGATGTTACAGCATTTAAAAATAAATATCTCAAAGCTTTAATAGAGTAAATGCAGAACATTTCAGCCACAGTGATGAATGCCTGATGATGCTTCATGTAAACTAAAATTAGGTCCTAGAATTGGAAGTGTAGTTCAAATTAACAGAAACATTGATGCTGTGTTCAATACAAGGTACAGATATTATCTTGCAGGATTTAACATTGTCAGAGACCACTCAAAGAGTAAAAACAGCCACACCTTGTAGCAGTAAAGCTAGTAAACACCAGTTCTAAAGTATTAATAAGAAGCTATACTCAGATGGACATATAGACTCACCCACTGATTGCTCCTGCCAATTCTGGAGAAGCTGTTCCACAATAGCAGGTAAGGGACTGCAGACCATTTTTTTGTTGGTGATATTTATTGATCAGGTCCATTAACACTGCCTGGTGCCCAATCTTCTTTACCAGCTGCTGCACCATACGATCATTAAGAGCCAGAAGAGCTGCTCCACTTACTTCTTCTTCTAAAGATTGAAGGGGATAAGATTAAAAGTACAGTAAAATAACTTTATAGTTATACAGAACAGGTCAAAGGTAAAAAGATGAAGAACAACTGCCATTGTTCTTCGACTGTTAAAAAATAATAAATAAATGAATCATTTGTTTTAGCTACTGTCCTTTTTAAACCAGTGCAGGAAGTTTCAGTCACTGGCCAGATTCCTTCCAGCAACAAAATGACAGCTCTGAAACACATAAAAGTGATGAACTGACAATTTTAATGCTTTAAACCAGACTTTGCTTAGACCACAGCATAGGGCTCTTTTACTAAGGAAGGAAAGCAAGCTTCTTAAGAGAATGCGTAGCATACCGTGATCGTGGAGGAGTTTCTCAGGTACCTTTTTTTGTGAAGTGTTTACATATTCAGACAGAAAACACTTACATACTACACTTGCATTATTTCAAAGGATGGATACAACGTAAAATAGGCCCAGTCAGAGCCTGTTAAACTGCCAGTTCTGTTTCTAGAAAGTGCACCTTTCCACAAACAGGCTTAATTTTCTCCTCAGCCTTTCTCGCAGACTTCATAACAAACCTGCACACTTGTTTTAGCAGGTCTGTCAGTTCTCTCCCTAAGAAATTTCTGTGTAAGTCACAAGACAGTGATATATGCATATCCCAAGGCAAGGTAGGTGATGTCAATTAGAGTAATCAGAATAGTAGCAAGAAATGTTTTAAAAACATATACACAAACAACAAAAACGCTTACCACGAAACTTAGGAACTAATTCTCCTAAATTTCTCTGTCTCAACCAGTTGCAGACTTGATCAACCGACCAACTTTCCATCTTCAGGCACTGCAAAGAAATTTCACTGTGAAACAAAGACAGGATTATTTTTATGCTGAACTTTAAATTGAACTCAGATACCTTGTAGGGAAGAAAAAAAAAAAAAGAAAAAAAAAAACCACCAACCTTGCAGTGCTATACTTACATGCTCTGAACAAAATTAATGAGAAGTAATCAAACTAGTGCCTTTTGCAAGCATTAGTTTTCTTAGACCCCCTCTTTCTTCACCTCCTCTCCTCTCCCTCTGTTCTAAGACACCGCCCCATTCCTTATAAAACACGACCTGCTCCAGTACCATTAACACCCAGGTTTCCACACAGAGAAGAAAAAGGTGTGAAATTCATCACCACTGCTTGTCAGGAAATGGTTGACATTTTACAGAAAGGGGGAAAAAAAAAAGTCTGTCACGTACATGTTTACAGTAAATAAGGCACATTAACCCTCTCCCCACCAAGCAGCAAGCCCCAGTTAGGGGCAATAAAAGCTTCTGGTAAGAGGAGGGAACAACCTATGCTGGTCACATCCTTGAGGCTCCAAGCATCCCTGACAAGACAAGTCACCAGGCACCCTGGGAGGACCTGAGCGGATGAGGATGGTAACTGAGGGGATGGGCGTCCCAGCAGGTCACCCGCTGTGGCTCAGAGAGCCCCCAGGCAATCGGGAAATCCCTCCAGCTGCAAGAGTCACTTTTTTTTTGAAGAACTTATCCAAGCTGTGAGGAGAGTACATCACATGCCACTCCATGCCTGCCTAAATCCAGCCCACCCTACTCCTCTCTCCCACCGCAGGATGCTTCACGTGTAGCAGACAGAACAGGCAATACAGAGAGCAGGGCATTTCACCTCGCTACAGGTCCTAAATAACTACAAGTTTGATATCAAGATAAAAATCCACCCTTACCGTTAACGGAATCCTCAACTTTTTTTAGGCTAGGAAATAGCCAAAATCAGCACCTTCACAAGGACAGGATTACTTGTAAACAGACTCCAACTCTACCAACGCCTTTAGGGCAGGAAACTCCCCACAAGAGATTTTCATATTCATACAATTCAGCTCTAGTGCAGAAATGAGCTGGAGGTGCATCACCAAGTACTCCCGTGCTGGCAATCCACAGAGAGCATGAGAGAAGATGATCCAAGCAAGTTTGTTTGTTTGTTTTTAACAAAAAAATAGTGTATCAAGTGTGCCATCCACATACAAAACCAACCCTACCATTCACACGCGAACCCAACCATTTCTGGTTTTCACCCTTCAATAACAGGGCACCAACACGGACGCACTTCAGCTTGTGCTCTCCTGCCAATACACTTCAGCAGCTCAAAAGGGTTAAAGGAAGAGGCAGGTCTTCCCAAACTGCAGGAGTAGATTTAATTTGACATGACAACAGTAGCCATCCAACTCCTCCTCCAGGCTAAGCAGCAATAACAGGGTGTGAAAAGTCATTATTTGCTGAGAACTCTGGTGTAAATTAAAAATCACACCTTCCCGTCACACTTCTTACTTCCTTGTGAAGAGAAGGACAAAAAGATGCTCAAAAAACTTGAAAGATAAAATAGAATGCAAAGCAAAGAGACACTTGCCTCATCAACCAGGCAGTGCCAAAGTAAAGAGAGATACATTAAAACGGCAGAAAGGTCACTGCTTCTTCCCATAAGACGACTTGCATCCTACACTGGGTCATGCTGAAGCAGCCGTTGTAGATATCAACATGTCAACTACTGCCAAGCAAACTAGAGTAACGGAAAGCAATATACATATACGTATCGGCACCGTGTCACTAACTCTGCAGCAAAGCGCCCGCTCGCAGAGAGAACTGCAGCCTGGGCACTTCACGGGGAAGGAAGGGACGGCAGTTTAGAAGCTGCTGCGGAGAAACAGATGATACCTATTAAAGTTCCTACACATGTACTTCAAAGCACTTCTCAAAAGTGATTTCACTTGCTGGCAAATACACTGGGCAAAGGAGCTGGGAAAGGAGCTTCCTGAGACAACAGAAAGACTGAGAATGTATATGCATGTTTTTTACTATTAATTCTATTCATCATAATAGTATCAAAAGCTTACCCAGTGTGGCCACTGCTTGGTGCAAGCACAAGAATATTTATATTCTCCAATAAACTCTTAAAAGGCAGAGGAAAAAAAATAACGGCAATGTTTTTAAAACAGGCAGTATTTTAGCAATTTACAGCATGGCTTCAAGTCAAATTCAGAATATTTCAAAGTATGAGTACTGGCCATCTGCTAATAAATACAGCAAATCACTAGGAGCCATCTAGGTAGCAGGGCATACTAAAGATATCACCAAAATATCCTCTCTTTAAGCTTTAAATGTTATTGGAACTTGTCTTTACCTTTATAAGCATTACAGAGACTTTGGTATTTTCCTTCCAGTTGCTACGTTTTTTTTTTTAATTATTAAAAATATACTCAAGCTAATTTGTAGAAGGTTGAGCTCTGTCATCCAGTAGATAGTGCTGAGTGACCATGAAAGGGCATCAGTTAGCCACCAATCATTTCAATTATGCATAGGGAGTTTCTAGTATCCATGTTTTGACCATAAGAGCTTCTATAAAAACATATTGATCTGTTCAATTTAAAGTGATAGTGTCCTACTTCAGAGACAGCTGTCCCGCTTTGGAGACCAGATTTCACCCAAATGCCAAGCCTGTTTGGTAATTTGAAAGCAAGAAAGCAAGAGTATTAACTTCACTGTGTTTTGAGGCAATGTAATACTCATGTCCTTGCTATCATTAGTAACAGTAAACAAGCCATGCCATAATACAATAATACTAGTAACAGTAGGTTATAAAAGAAAGTTCCCTAAAATTCTATGAAGACAATTTCTGGAAATTAAGCCACAGTGATATCAAACACTTTTATGTTCAACTTGAACAAAATTGTAACAAATTAAAAATACAAGGTTACTGGATATACAGAAGAGGGGGGGGAAAAATCAAATGAAGATTAAAAATTCATGAACCATGAAAATAAAATCTCATACATATCACAGAGAGAGCAATCAGGCTGAAGGTCCTTGGCACCCCACCAGGGCCATTTCAGAAAGACATGCAAGTCATTCCCTTTTCTAAGGGAAATTAGAGTGACTTTTCCCCCAAACTGCAGTAGCTACCTCTCACCAGGACCAGCACAGTTTCTGATCATTCCCCTATTTAACACCTTAGGGAAGGAGTCCAGCTCCTGACACAAGCAGCAGACACCTCTGAGACTCAGAAGTCCTCCAGGGCAGTTCCACAGTAACCTGAAAGGCCTGTCCTAGTTGTCCTCCCCCTTCTGCAGTCCTAGTTGTCCTCCCCTCTTTGCTCATGGAACTGAATAAGCTGAAATCCCAATTTTTGGTATGGGTAGTTTTTGACTGATCAGCCTCTTTTAACCAGCTCCCGGTGCACCTGCATGAAAATATAGATACAGGAACCATATCCCAAGACCTACCCAGCAGGCACAGATAGGGAACACATAGTGTGACAATGAAGAGTTATATCTTAATGGAGCATTTCAATGTAAAACAAGGGCAAAACGCAACCCGCAATTATTCTGTCTCCAAAAAAAATAAAGGAAGTGAAAAGGAAGTGCACCCCTCTCCTCTCCCTCAAATCGTTTTGGGTGAATGAAAAAAAATATAAAATAAAAAGATGCAAGTAAGATACATAATACCCATAACAACCAGATCAATTTACTTAGAGAATTGATATGAAATCCTATTGCTCGCTTGCTCCACTACTGCCTTAAAATTAAAAAACAGATCAAAAAGTAGATTCAGCAGACAGTTTCAGTGACCTTACAAAAACAGTTGAAAATAGCTTAAAAAAAATCCATACCCAGGATATTCTGATGAAAAAGTGATGGGGCAATTTATTACTAGTTCAGTAGGCAGATCCTCAAAGGTGCTATTATTTGACACAGGCGCTCTCTGTTGCTCCCAAGGCAAAGGCTGGAGACAAGGACCCCTTTTAGGTATCACTGAGTAACTGGGAAATATTAAAAAATGCTACAGGTTTGAAGTAACAGGTTTGCAGAGGACAACCTCTTCATGCAGTTCTGAAGAAGGGCCAAATCACCTTCTGCTCCTGCCTACCCGCCATGCTCTCGGGGAAAGCAGCATTCCCAGGCCCAGCCTTTCCACAGTGCCAACCAACTATCCCAGTGCCAGAGGCTTCAGGGAACTGCCTGCGCTAGCAAAACTTTATATATATGTATACTATTTTTGTATTTAAGCAGGCGCACTCTTCCATGGCTACAGCCGCGGCCCAGCCTGCCCAGGGGCTGCCTTCAGAAGTGGGCAGGTTTCTGCAGGGCATTCACCAGTGCAGAGAGCCCACTCCTGCA